AGCTCGGACGATGTGCTCCACACTTCAAAGCCCTTTTCTCTCTCTCTCTCAAAACATACTTTCTTGATTGCTGCATACAGCAAATGAACATTAATGGGGTTTCCTTAATGAAAAAGAAAATTCATCCAAAAGCAGAAAATCTCTAGTTTACAAAATATTAAAGATAAACTTGAGTTCTGGTAAAAAAAGAAAATGAATTCTCACAGAATCTAACGAAACTTACACTGAATGTTCAAGATTACAAATAAATGTCATGTGCCCAACAATTTTGGAAGAAAATGTATACTGGCTGAGTAATGAGCATAGAAAGATAAGGAAATCAGGGTAGTACTAGCCCCGACACCGTGTGTGTTGTCCCATATACATCTTTCTGTGTAAGTGATTGTTACTTTACCAAGACTCTGCCAAATTTATGATGATTTTGATGAGTCCAGAACCTTGCATTACACACCATTACTTACATGTACATGCTATATGATCAACTTTTCTAATCCATTCCACACCTTTTCTTTCACAATGCAATCGCATTACCAGAACTTAAGTTTATCTTTAAGAACATATTAAATTCACTTTCAGGCTGGTTGTTCACATGTACTGTCATATGGTGAGGCAGATCAAGACTAATTTTTGATTATCTTACCTGAACGTGATGACAGCTTACCGAGGTAACACAGAAAGAAGAAAGCAATGGCTATGATGGCAATATTCATCGTTAGGCAGATGATAAAGCCAGCCAGATAATCACTTGTTCCTAGTCGTCCTGTGTGAAGAAATAATCGAATAATATTAGATATTTTAATAGCACTCATATCTACCCCGCAAAGTGCTCAAGGCAATCCGATATTACAACAGATCTAGCTAGGCTACTCATTTCATAAAATTTCTTCCTTGAACACCCAGGTGGAGAGTGGCTAACATAGATTAATGTCTCATCTATACTGGACAAGGGTACTTGATGATATGTACAGGTGTTGTGGTTGATAGGTTAACATGTTTGCCTGTAAATGCAAAGAATTTGGGTTTGATCCCCAGCACAACACTTAAGTTCCTAAGAAATGCTTTTTGTCTGCACCCAGGTGTAAACAAATTTGAATCCATTCCTGCGGTACTGAGGATACAAAACTGAAAGTGATTGTGGTTATTCTGCATTAACTGTAATTAAAAATCTTGTGTGCCTGTTCAAAGGCGCCCGACTGGAATGTTCCTCAGGGAGTGGAGAATGTGCATTAAAGTGCTTACAAGTACTCTGTGATTGTAACTTTTGCCATTTATCAACCCAGTAACTACTGAATTCTCATCTTCCCCATAGGTTTAATACAGGAACCTCTCTTTCCAGTAGGTAATGTATTAATATTGTTTAATCAGAACCCTTCTTCTGCAATTCTTCATAGCAGTAGACAGTTGGCAGTTTTACATACCTGAGCTTTGGGGAGTAGGGGGAAGTATGGGTGCATAAGTTGGCTCATTACTGCCTTGTGTAGGACTTGATGTAGATCCTGCTACAGGTTGATGTGTAGGGGTTGTGGGAACAGGAATGTTAGCCGCATCGATTGCTCCGATTAGCTGACTCAACCACCAAGCGCAGAGTACCTACAGAACAATCATTGGAAGAAGAATACAATTTTAACACGTCTGTTTCGATTATCAGTCACTTCAAAGTAGAAGCATTCATTTACATATATCAAATTTTAAAGTTCTGAACTTCAAGGTACTGGTACTGTAAAAGGAAAAGGTATTAGTAGGTTTTCAAGAGGGTATGATTGAATACCAGCATGTGTAAGAGACACATACAAGTTAAAACATTCAATTCTTCTGAGAAAACATACTGGTATTGGAAATTTTAAAGAAATATGATTATAATCTAATTATCATTTAGTATGTTCAAGTGAAATAGGTAGCTGCCTGCATGTTTTTATTTTTCTTCCCGTACCTATATATCCCTCCCAATAATCAGTATGATTTTTGGATGTGAACATGCATGTGCTCCCACTCTTTCTTTCTTTCTTGTTTACAAACATTGTAACAGTGAGCTAATAAGCAGTCTAAGCAGAGATAAGGCATATTTTGGTTTAGTCTTACAACTGTATATGCCACCAACAACAGAATCCCACTTAATCACACTCTGCATATACAGTTAACATCTAAATTATTCATACCCTTACCAATTAGCGTCATAATTTTTGAAGAATGTGAACAATTGTCTTGTCCCCCCATGTGTTTCTTGAAAGTGTGACACATCAAAGCTTACATCAAAAAGTATTCATCAAAGGTCCCAATTTAACCAGTCCATCTTTATTTCTTGATTTACAAAAAATAAAAAAAACACATCAAAATTAAAAGGGGTGTGAATAATTTAGTTGTTACCTATAAGCATACATACCATGGCCCCTCTCTTTATCCATAGAGCACCGTCGCTCATCATGTATGGTTGCATCTTTAGTTAGACGGAGACAACGTTATATATCAATAGTATGTCCTGTTTCAAAGATGACATGAGATCCCCAACCTAGCAGATAAATAAGAAATTAATTGGATTTACATGAGATTCTTATATTCGTTGAGTAGGCGTTGACTCTGAGGAAAGAGACAATCATGTGCAGTAAACTTATTATCAGTAATAATAATAATAATAATGTAAAGTCCCACACAAAACAAAAGTGGTCTCACATGGTTGAGGACTTGAGCTGCACTATCAGATTTTATTCCAACCACAAAATGGCTGCCAAGATGGCTGACATGCAGTCCATCAAAACAATAATAACCAATCACAAGATTGGACAATAAGTAAGTAACCAATAGAAAAGCTTGTAAAAGATAGAGTGCCATGTGCCATGTGTGCTGGGTTGAATAGCTAAGAGATAAGGAAGAGTGTGTGTGTGTGTGTGGTGCTATAGCAGGTAATGTGCATGAGGATGAATGAATAGGGACAGAACAATAGAAGCCAAGAGCTAGCAGACATGAGAGAATGAATGTAGGTCAGGAGTGCGCTAAAGCATATCGGAGTGGAAAACTAAATGTACAGTGTGAAATAAACAAGTAACCACTTTGATCAGTGAAATTAAAACCTTACATAATATACCATCTTCACAGAAAAATGTCCTCATTTTAAAAGATACATCGTATTAACATGCATTTGTTTCCGAAGAAAATGAGTCACATAAAATTTGCTTGAAATACCTGAACACATCAAATCATGAAGTTTTCCTTCTGTACAATTCTCTCTTCTTCTTTTTTTTAAAGAAATAGCATCCATTCATAATCATATTAGGGAAAATTAAACTGTTTAAAATGAAAGGTCACATACATATAGCAAATACAAAATAATGGTATGCTTTCATCAATGAACATCTTTCAAACAACGTCCTAACTTCAATGGGTTCTATCCTTTTTCACCCTGAGAATTCCAGTCGGATGATTTGTAGACATAAACATTAAATAATTTCCTTTTTTTCCTGTTTCTGTCACAAATGACAAAATATCAAATACTTCATACCCAATTTGGCAATTTTTAACAAAAACTATAAACAAAATACATGGCAATGTCTTCACCTAAAGAAAAAAATATCACTGTTTCGTGAATCCCTGTTAAAAATTCTTTTAAAATAAGTTAGCCAATTAAACAATGAAATACAATGTACACAGATAATATGCATGCATTCTGACATAACTCTTTCAAAACTGTCTCAGATTTAAGGAGACATTATACAAATACAGTGTCTATGGCCGATAAAATCTCAACTACAAATGATTTATGTAATGAGAAAAAACACATCTTATGAATTCATACATGTATCAAGAATCTGTTTTAAATCCAAATATCTAAAAACATCAATATAAGTCAAATGACTAAAAATGATGTCCAGAAAATAATGTACCCATGTACATGTACACACATTGACTAATTACATCAATTCTTTTGACACATTTATATAGTCATCGTCGTGAAATAATTCAGGTCAACCCTGTGACCAATACAGTCTGAATCATACATTCTTTTCTTTTCTTTTTATCTTAAAACTCAGCACAATTGTAAAATGTGCAACCAAAATTTGACATCTGAGTCTTTTTTCTGTAAAATAAAAAAATAGGAGCAAAAATGAGTTCACCCAATTGATGTGTAATTAACAAATTTGATGGAAAAACACATGACAAAATGTTTGAAAGTTTGTCTTCTTCTTTTTCCCGTCTAAACATTAAAAACTGACAATTTAATCCTATCTTTACTGACAAGTCCTACAAAAATATCATAAATCTTCCAAAACGTTCAAAAATCAAGAATTCTATCAATAACATATTGTCACAAACAATGGGGCCATGGCGAATGCAAGGTATGACAGCGAAAAGTGAAAATCAGCAAGTCTTTCAATCATCTATCACTATTGCAAACATTAGTTCTCGAAAGTCTTTACAGTTTGTAATCTTGAAACTTGGCGGGTACTTTAACCTGTCGACCAGATCTCGAACGTGCGGATGAGGACGGCTGAGGTTGGGGTTGGTCAGCGGATGAGGACGGCTGATGTTGGGGTTGGTCAGCGGATGAGGACGGCTGATGTTGGCATTGGTCAGCTGATGAGGACGGCTGATGTTGGGGTTGGTCAGCGGATGAGGACGGCTGATGTTGGGGCTGGTCAGCTGATGAGGATGGCTGAGGTTGAGGTTGGTCAGCGGATGAGGACGGCTTAGGTTGCTCAGCTGATGAGGATGGCCAAAGTTGAGATTGGTGAGTCGTCGACCTCAGTTGATATTGGGGTCTGAGTTGAAGTTGGCCAACCGGCGAGGACAGCTGATGTTGGGTTTGGGTAGTCGGCAGGGATGGCCTAGGTTGTTGCTGAGGTGGGGCTGAGTCAATTAGCCTGGATTGGTGGCTAGAATTGGTTGGCTGGTTTGATGCTTCTTGCCGAACAGACAAACTTGACCGAGATGGTTGGTCATGGTCTGACTGTCGGTGATGGAGGATGCGTTCTGTTGAACTGGTCGGCTGGTTTGAGGCTTGTTGCCGAACAGACAAACTTGACCGTGATGGTCGGTCATGGTTCGACTGCTCGTGATGGAGGATGCGATCTGGTGGTCGAGATGACCACGTGATATAGGCTGGTCCATGGCTAGTAGGTTGATTTGATGGCACCTTTCTCCTAGTCTCGTCTTCTGCTGGGGGACCTGGTGGGTACTGTGTCGTTGTCCTCTCAGTCCCATGTATTGACGTAGGCTGTGGGGTTGGTGGGGATGGTGGAGTTGACATCACTTGTGGGGCTCTAGCTCGATGCGGTTTCAAACGATTATGATGGACCCGTCGCTTGAACTTTTCATCATGGACATGAACTATGTCATAATTTAGTCCATCATCTGATGAGGAAGATACTCTGAAAGGACCTTTCCAGTTTGGTTCGAGTTTGTTCCTGATGTTGGTAGGGTCATGTAACCAAACAAAGTCACCTGTGTCATACTTTGAAATGCGTTTCTTCACATCATACTGTCGTTTCTGTTGTTGCTGTTGCTGTCGTGTATTTTGTATGGTGTACTCCCATGCTTTTCTCAATCGCTCAGACAGGTTGGTTGTGTATTCGAGGAGTGTCTTGCCAGATGACGATGGAGGGGGGGTTGAACAGGTGATGTTCGCAGGTGTACGGGCTTCCCTGCCATGCATGATGTAGTATGGCGTCAAACCTGTTGAGGCATGAGTACTTGTGTTGTACGCTAACTGGACTTGATTGATGTGAGTGTCCCATTCTCCTCCTTGATGAGAAATGTACTTCGCAAGTTGATCCTTGATGGTGCGATTACATCGTTCGACTATGCCAGCTCCTTGGGGATGATAGGGTGTCGATCTAGACTTTTTGATGCCCAATTTGCTGCATAGTTCTTGCACTAATCTTGACTCGAACTGTCGACCTTGGTCGGTGTGCAAAGTCTCTGGAATACCATGTTCTTTCACATATTCTTCAAACAGATGTTTGGCGATGGTTGGAGCAGTCTGATCTTTCATAGGGAAGATATTGACATATTTGCTGAAATGATCAGTCACAACGAGTATATAGCGAAATCCTCGTCTTGAACTTGGAAGCTCAGCAATGTCGGCAAAGACCATCTCCAAAGGGCGAGTAGTGGTAATGGGACGTAAGGGTGCTTGATGCTTAGGGGTTGGTAACCGGAAAGACTCACAAGCTGTGCATGTGTTGCAGAAATCAGTGATTTCCTTGTTCATGAAGGGCCAATAGCACATTGACTCTGCTCTCTGTATTGTGCGATGAGCGCCGAAATGTCCGGATGATGGGACACCGTGTAACTCTTGGAGTACCCTTGGAATGAGGGAGTTTGGTACGACAAGTTGGAATGAGAGATTACCAAGCTTGTCTTTCTTCTTCCTGTAGAGTATACCGTCTTGCAGGATGAATTTGGGATACTGCCACAAGAGACGTCTAACTCGGGGGTTGTGTCTACGGATCTGTCGAATGGTTGGCCGCTCACCATTGTTGACGCATTCGATGACTGTACTGATGTCTTGATCTAGTTGCTGTTCATGTTGAACATCTACATCACTGTCAAGGATTACACCACGATAAGGATGAAGGACGTTTGGTGCAGACTGCCTCGTTGAATCATTGGGAGTAGATGCGTCTGTTGATAGTCGTGATCTTGATGAACGAGTCTCGACTGCATTACACAGTGGATTGGTCACCATGTGCTTGAGTAGCTGATCCGTCAATCTTGGAGTGACTTGGCTCTCTTGACTCGGGCGTCTAGATAATGCATCTGCATTTCTGTGTGATTGTCCTTTCTTGTGAATAAGGCTGAACGTGTAGGAATTGAGTTCCAATATCCATCGTGTTCTCTTCCCAGTTGCATCGTCTTGAATTGGGAACTTCCTGAGAGCCAAAAGAGGTTTGTGGTCTGTCAGGATAGTGAAGTGTTGGTGTCTCAGATAATGACGAAAATGGCGAACAGCTGTAACAATTGCCCAGAGCTCTCGATCATAGGTAGACCATTTCTTCTGCGTAGCGCTGAGAGTTTGGCTGAAGTAGGAGATTACACGTTCTTTACCATCTTGAGTCTGTGAGAGGACAGCACCAACTGCATGAAGGGATGCATCCGAAGATAGGATGAACTCCTTTTCAAAGTCTGGATAGGCGAGGAGAGGTGGATTGGTTAGAGCTTCTTTCAGATGTTGAAAAGCCTTTTCACACTCTGCTGTCCATACAAACTGTTGACCTTTTTGTGTCAGGGTCGACAAGGGAGTTGCAATCTTAGAGAAGCTCGGCACAAAACGTCGGTAGAAAGATGCCAGGCCAAGGAAGGATCGGACATCAGTCGGTGTCCTCGGCTGAGGCCAGGACTTGACTTTCTCAACGTTGTTTGGGTCAGGTTTCACTCCTTCGGTGTTGATTATGTGGCCAAGATACGTAACTTCTTTCTTGAAAAAGCCACACTTTGAGGGTTTGAGTTTGAGTCCAGCGTCTCTCAATCGTTGCAATACTTCTTGGAGGTTCTTGCAATGATCATCGA